GCGAATATTGCTTAATTGTTTGATTCGAGCAAACAGAGAACAACGTAATAATGTTATTGAAAAAAAAAACAAACAAACTTGGATAATCTTCAGACAAACGCTTCAATTGAATCATCGTCATTATCTTCGGTATCGTATTTGTGCAAGAAGATATTTCAGTTTATTTTGGATTTGCAACAAAAAATCATCACTATATACACGAGTCACGTCGTGTGAATCTTGAATCATCGGTATCCAATAATTACGAATCTGATATGTTCTCTTCTTTCAAATATAGGATTTTTCTGCACTTAGGCATGTTTTGGAATTCGCACGGTACTTTTGCAATAGTGAAGGTGCGACACAAATAGAAAAGAATACGAAAACAAAAAAAAGAGAGAAGTACATCATGCACAAGGGCCGCACCGAGCCATGAAGTAGTCATGAACATCAAAATGCGGCACGACTAGTATTCATTTTATTAGCCACAAATGTTTCATCCAAATAACAATCTTACGAGATTTCACTTTCTTTTTCTTCATATTTTTAGAAACTTTTGCACAAAAAAAAAACACGTAACGTTAAACTTATCATTTATAATAAAGCTTTAAAACTAACATTCTGTTAATTTCATTAGCATAATTAAACTACAGTCTAGACGTGCTACAACGTCGTACCGGCGCTAATTTATGCTGTAATTGTTGTGCAGAGGAATGCGGTTTGGTTAAAAAACCGCAAAACCGAAAATTATTTGAATTCATTTAATAATAAACAAACATTATTGTAAAAGAAAAAAACAATACAAAAACTTGCTCAATTTATTTAGTTTTAGTATTGTTTGTTTTTGTAAGCTATTTTTGATTTGTTTGAGCATGGGTGGAGACTCAATATTGATTCAATATACGTAACAAGTAAACAAAAGTGAAAACTCACAGAATTATCAGAATGCCCATTATAAAATGATGTATTTATTCAGAGTTCGTGAAGAACAAAAAAAAAGTTTGATTATGGAAACTATTGACTATTTGGAATTCCGAAGAGTTTTTTGTCAGGAAGTCGAAGATTGAGACTCGACTATAAACTAAACTGTTCTTTAAGCATATTAACTAAGTGTAAGATTACGATAGTGAAGACTCAATCTATTGAACATTAATTCTCCTTCAAATACAAGATTAGTTATTCACGTTTATTGAATCGTTGCTTATGTGAATTAAATTGTGTAAGCTTTGAATACAAATAGAGCTATTACTGAATGTTTAAAAACGATTTTTAAAATCTGTTTCAATACAATTTTATGATTGATTTAAAGTATATTTGTATTGCAACAAAATATTCAAATTACGTTACACTAACTAGTAGAGAACTGCGATGTCCTTCTACCACGTATACGAGTGCGAATTATTATTAATTAGTGGCGCTGTTTTCTAAGAATGTTAAATGGTTATGCGCCGTTTAAAAACAAAAATGTAATTATAGAATGCACGTTTTACCTGGTAAATGATAACTTATTTAATATGATAAATACGTCGATATAAAATTCCAGTAATTATCACACGTTTACGTACTACACACTTTTTTTTCTATCTATATGCTCGTTCTACGAAGAACCAGTTTTGCAACTGTATTGATTTTTAAGTTCTGCGGTTTAATGAATGGCGAGTAGAAATGTGTTTCTAAAATATTTATCCGCAGGAATCTATTAAACATTCATTGGAAGAGGAGGTTGGCAGCAGCTGCGGCAAAAAAAAATAGACAATGCGTTGCAATGAGACGGCGTCGCACAAAAACTTGGCAATTCATTTTGCATAATTTCCAATTTGCACGACACTAGTGATTGTGTGTGTGTGAATGAGAGAGAGAAAGAAAGATAAATGGAGGAGAAACAGCTTTAATTGTCTATTTCGAAACCGTCGACAGTTGGTTCATATATTTGTTGATAATAATTAAATGCAAAAGCGTGCGGTTCTGGGTAATTGTTAATTATGGAATAGAAACGCATGAACTCGGTGGTATCTGTGCATTTTGGCGCCATTGTAGGCAGCAGACACAGATAATAACTAATCTGGTTTATGTGATTTTTGTCAACTGCTCTTTTTCAAACTAAAATATCTATAAACAAAAAAAAAAAATATCAAAATAAATTGATTATTGAATTAAAACTGTAATTGTAAACATCAAAAAGTAATCTATTTCAAATTTCTAGCCTAGAAAATGCAATAACCTTTGCAAAGTACTTCAAAATATTACGTATTAACTAAGAAATAACTAACAAAAACTATTGTCAAAGTATGTCAAAGCTGATACCATAAGCAATAAAGAAAGTTTATATTAATATCCAAGTAATTATCAGTCAAAATTAAAACATTAAAAAGTAATATGCAGACTTGTTAACTTACATGTCAAACATTACTAAAAATAAATTAACAATGATAACAGATATAAAACTAAGATACAAATTGTAAAATGAAGATGACATAAAGATATCATAACTGTATGTAAGTATATAAAAAAAAAGGTTATACTGTATGTAATTAAGTATACGTTCATTCAAGCATTCAAATTATATATATAAATTTTATGAAATCCTTTAATTATGATGTTATAACATCAAGATCGCAAATGCCAGAGGATGTATTTTTAAAGTAGGAAAAAAAAAATGTCATTGAACTTGTGTTATTGTTAATACGTCTATTAATAATGTTCGTAGATCAAGATATAAACTGCCGTTATTTTTATCTTCGAGACATGTTAAACTGAAGGTTGACCATTTTATTTGCGCTATAGTTTGCGTAACGAAACTCGCAAGATTTTCTAAAGTTAATGCCTAATTTGGATTTACATTAAAGATTCTAATGGAGTGTGTTTCGAAGAATTTGTCATAAGACCTGTCGCCTTTTATTACAAAGATCTTGTGTTGCAGGTAAACTTGTAGGGTCTATGCTGATAATAAACAGTCAAATGTATCACTTGTAAGTAGTTAACTGGGGAAATAAATTTTAGGGATAGCTAAGGCAATAAAGTATTTTACTAACTGATGGTTAGCAAATTTATTTGGGTTTACTTTAAGCCAGTTTATTAAGTGTGCGTTTAACTTTAGAATTAGGAGCTACAAGAATTATGTATTTAAGATTGTGAATACAAAAATAACAAATAAATACAGAATTGGTAATTAACAGTTCTTTTTAGTATGTTTAGTACTTGAGCCGTTAAAGGTATAAATACAAATATAATAAATGTGAGAACAGTAGTTAATGAAAATATTTTTAGTGACCATGTTTTATGGTGTGAAATAATGCGTTACAATTCCACTGCTACCAACTCGTAAAATTGAAATTAGACTAATCTTATCGTAGTCCAAATATTAAGTGTATATAAATAAATAAATAGAATGAAAACTGGAGGGGAAAATAAAAACATATGCAGTTCGAATAAACGGTCATTATACAATACGATCGATTTTCGTCCCGAAACTGGGTCCTCCACGCGACGTTAACGATCACCTCCCAACTCTAATGGAGTTGCGATGAAAGTCGTAAACGGAGGTATATAGCTTCGTTATAGCGAAACAATAGAAGGAACGAAATCCCGATCCGAGGCCCCCCGGTGGCGAAAATAATAATAATAATATAAAAAAAAAACGGATGAGAGACCACACGACGTACGTTGGCGGCGTTGCAATTCGTGCGCGCCCGAAATAGAAAACCCAATTAATCCGGATTCTTTTTGGGAATCCGAACGTAGCGAGTAAATGAAACCGCAGTTCGTCCTTTTTTCTTCTTCTTCCTTTCCTTTCTATCCTTCTCTTCGTTCCTTTTCGGTCCTGGTTTTATTTCGCGTCCCGCTTTTCGTCTTCCAAATGTTACCGGACGCCATCTTATTGCTATTACACAATGTAATTACATGGTTGTTTGTGCGTCGGTCCCGCTAAAATGTGTTCGGAGGTGCGTCAAGATGTATCATCTTCCGCTCATTGCGTTCATTTCAATATCATTAGACAATCTTTCTATCGTTTTATTCTATAGCTAAGAACACGAATCGCGAGGCGAGGCGAGAAAACGGCAAGAGAAAAAGAGAAGCTCACTCACCTATTTTTGTTTTTTGTTTTATATATATATATGTGTGTGTATGTATATATATATATTGTTATTGGGTTTGCGGCTTCCTTTTGTGAAAGTCTTTTCGTTTTGGTTTTTGGTTCTCCTTGCTTCCTCTTTAAATTAAAAATTCGCACATATATCACTCGAAATCACACGGTTTTATATATTATACTTGAAAAATCCTCGTCAAATACCCAAAACGACGTACAACGCCATTTTGAGACGTTTGCGAGAGTCGCTCGTCGAGTGAACTTGAAACCACCAGCGAATCGGCTCTGCTCGGACGTTTCCGTCTCCACGATCTTTATGTGGGAATTTTAAATCTAATTAGATTTTCAACATTAAGTCAATTCGAAAAGAATAATACTGAAATAATTACAAGAAATAAATGCTGCTTATTTACGTTACAATCGATGAACAATTCAATGTAAATTCGACAAGTTTAGTTACTTAAATTTCAATTTGTTAATAATCTTTTTTCAGAATATTACAATGAACAAAATTCATGAATTAAGCATTACTTATATAAAAATAACGTTTATTGTAATAGTCACACAAAAATAAATACATACAGATAGTTCAACAAGCGAGGTTTATGTTAAGAAGTAAAATTTACCCCAAGATCATAGAAACAAATACGATATAGATAATAATGAAATAAACACTGATTAGCACAAAGTGAATGGAGAATCAGTAATAAGACGAAATAATACAATTATAAATATGATTATTTCAAGTATGCAACTCAATATACGTTTGGTACAATTCTTAGCCTACAATACCAAATTATTTTTTTTAGATTTTGATATTTTTCTTATTTCAGTTTTGTATTAATAAGTATACCCAAATATAAAAATATGTGTTGTTTTTTTATGTATATTAATTAATATGTACGCAGGCTGAAGAAGAATTGATAAGATTGAGTAACTTAAAATATGTTTTTTTTTATTGAAAGTCTTGAGATTGAGAAGTAAACATGAAGTTTATAATGTAATCCGTACAGCTGAATATAGCTTCTGTATAAATGAAAATAAAACATCATGCGAAAAATAAAATAAAAGAATGTGGGTCCAACATAGCTGGAAATTGAGTCTACTATTCATGGAATAGTACTACATCCTATCCGCACGTGACGTACAGGTGTGAGAAGACGTTAAGTAAATAATTATATATATATAAAAAAAAATATTTTGTCCTTAATAAATAAGAATAATCCCGAATAGAAGAAAATGTGAATCGTTCACTGCCAGTTCTTGGTCTGTTAACTGGCCGACACTTCCTTCGATGTAATAGAATCGTTCAGCTGTGGTCCGTCCACGCACTTCCACAGACCGTACGTCTTTCCAACGGTGGTCTGCCATAATCTGAGCGTACCATCCTCCGATCCGGATGCATACAGCTCACCATCCGGCGAGAAACGCATGCAATGCACGGGGCCGAAATGACCCTTAAAAGATTCTGCAAAAATAATTAATTAAATCGGAACTGTTCATGTAATTATTTCTAAGATTTATACCGATTTCTGTTCCAGTCGCGTAGTCGAATTTGTAAACCTTCAGGTCGTCACCGCCGGCAACGAAAATACTCTTGTCCGGATGCAAAGAGGCCGAGTTCACGATCGATGGCACCGGATACTCTTTGATCTTTCCTAACGTGTCGGCATCCAGGAACGTCACGTTCTTGGCATGCGAGACGGTGATTACGGTACCATCCTTAGATACCTCTATGCCAGTAGGATTGGTTGGGAAATCAACTTTTTGTATTTCCTAAACAATAATTCAATAATTAATTTGTAGTTCGCTTTGAATAAATAACATTAAAAAAATGAAATAGAAAACAAATTATTATAAAAAAAAACTTGTTTACTTGCTTTACGCAAAAATAATTTGTCAGATTATGCATGAAAACATAACAGTTATTATTAGGCAATAGTTTGTTTGTTTATAGGAAAAAACAAGTTAATTTGAATAATAATTTGTTGCCTTAATTGTGATCAAGTTAGTAGTTTATTTAAATTACCTTTCCTGAAGTTCTATCCCAAACTCTTAAAGTTTTGTCATCAGCACAAGATACAATATTTTTATCATTTCTAAATAATATGACATGCTTGATACCAGCAGTGTGGCCAGAAAAAACTTCAGGAGCTGAAAAAAAAATAAAATTTGTATTTTAGAATAATGACTTTGATTTTAGTAGAATGGTAACATACAAGCATCAGTCTTGTTCAAGTCGAAAACCCTGACCAGTTTTTCATTACTTCCGGTCACTAACGAAGCTGTATCTTGTGTAAAGTCAACTGATTTCACAATGTGGTTGTGCTGGAATGAGTGCAATTCTTCACCAGACACTGCATCCCAGACTTTACCAGTGAAATCAGCAGCTCCACTAGCAGCCCTAGTGGCGCTCGAGTTCAATGCTACACCCCACACAGCTCCCTTGTGTCCCTCGAAGGTGCCAATCCAGTCACCAGTGTCGCCTTGTCGGAGCATTGGTTTTCCATCTGCAATAAAGAGAGACAAAAAATTAATGTATTATCCAAAAAAAAAAGTAAAGAAATGTTAACCTTGCGTTTATTTAGGAAGGCTACGAGAGAATAAAGTAAAAAAAAAAATAATAATCAAGGCACGTTCTTTTTAATTGAGGTTTCTTCGTGCGACGGCCTGAATTGGGCCAAGGCGAACGGTGGTCTGAAGGTACGGCCTGCTTTAAGGTTACCTTTCGTAAATGGGCACGAAGATGCAGGAAAGACGGAAACGAAATAACAACAGAAAAAAAAAGTGAAGCAAAACTGAGAGGGAACAAAAAAAATTATGGAGAATAGTGCAAATTTCTTCTTACCTTTGCATGCGGAGATCAGGAAGTATCCGCTTTCGATGACCGGGCTGAAGTCCAAATGGACTACAGGTCTCGTGTGTCCTCCGCACGTTAAGGGCGTCTGTCTCAGGCTCGACATATTTAACTTTTATTTTGGTTTTTGCGATATGAAAGTAGAAAAATACAAAATTTACTGTGGATGACAACAAGACCTGTTTCTTGACACGAGTTCGAAAGCGAACTGACAGTTATACGCGGCGCACGACACCACCGTGTTGATTGTTGAAGAGAAAGCACATCTGCACACACACACGCACCAATCAACGAGAACGCCTGCAGATGGCTCTGCAGTCGGATTTACCATATTTACTTTTGAATTCAAAATCGAATTTGCACAATAAATACAATTGAAGACCTTTTGGTCGATGGACAATCGTCTAACAAGTATACATTTTAGAAACGAGAGTTTCTGGTACAGATATTATTATTATAAATGCATCTAACGCAAATGTTTTTCTTGAAACTCTTTCAGTTTTCTTAGAGATGCAATATCTAGAGGAAGTTGAAGATGATGACCATATTTCTTTATAAACTATCTAACAAATATACATTTCAGTAACGAGAGTTTTCTTGTACTGAAATTATTATTATAATATCTGCATCTAACGCAAGTGATCTTCTTGAAACAATTGAAATGCAACATCTTGAAGATAATGACTATATTTCTTTGTAAACTGTCCAACAAATATACGTTTCAGAAACGAGAGTTTTCTTGTACAGAAATTATTATTATATCTGCATCTAACGCAAATGATCTTCTTGAAATTCTTTCAGTTTTCTTGGAGATGCAACAACTAGAGAAAGTTGAAGATCATGACAATATTTCTTTATAAACTATCTAACAAATATACATTTCAGAAAAGAGAGTTTTCTTGTACTGAAATTATTACTATTATAATATCTGCATCTAACGTAAATCAGATTTTTGAAGCTCATTGAGTTTACTTACAAATGTAACATCTACATAAAGTTGAAGATAATGATCATATTTCTTTATAAACTGTCTAACAAATAAACATTACAGAAACGACAGTTTTTTTTTGTACAGAAATTATTATAATATCTATATTTAATGCAAATGATCTGTTTGAAACTCTTTCAGTTTTCTTAGAGATGCAACATCCAGAGAAAGTTGAAGATGATGACCATATTTCTTTATAAAGAGTCTAACAAATATACATTTCAGAAACGAGAGTTTCTTGTACAAAAATTATTATTATATCTGCATCTAAAGCAAATATCTTCTTGAAACAATTGAACAATTGAAATGCAACATCTTGAAGATAATGACTATAATTTTTTGTAAACTGTCTAACAAATATACGTTTCAGAAACAAGAGATTTCTTGTACAGAAATTATTAATATATCTGCATCTAACGCAAATGATCTTCTCGAAACTCTTTCACTTCAAAATCTAAAGGAAGTTGAAGATGATGACCATATTTCTTTATAAAGAGTCTAACAAATATACATTTCAGAAACGAGAGTTTCTTGTACAGAAATTATTATTATATCTGCATCTAACGCAAATATCTTCTTGAAACAATTGAAATGCAACATCTTGAAGATGATGACTATAATTTTTTGTAAACTATCTAACAAATATACGTTTCAGAAACAAGAGATTTCTTGTACAGAAATTATTATTATATCTGCATCTAACGCAATGATCTTCTCGAAACTCTTTCACTTCAACATCTAAAGAAAGTTGAAGATGATGACCATATTTCTTTATAAAGAGTCTAACAAATATACTTTTCAGAAACAAGAGATTTCTTGTACAGAAATTATTATTATATCTGCATCTAACGCAAATGATCTTCTCGAAACTCTTTCACTTCAACATCTAAAGAAAGTTGAAGATGATGACCATATTTCTTTATTAACTCTAACAAATATACATTTCAGAAACGACAGTTTTTTTTGTACAGAAATTATTATAATATCTGTATCTAATGCAAATGATCTGTTTGAAACTCTTTCAGTTTTCTTAAAAATGAACATGTAAAGAAAGTTGAAGATGATGTCCATATTTCTTTACTAACCATCATTTTTCATCATTCACTAATCTTGCATATTTTTTTTAAATGTTGTTATAAAATAAAGAAAAACTATCTTGCTACTTATTTATTTATTAAAATATCCTGATATTAAGAAAGGTACAAAAAATGTTCTTCAAAAAGACAATAATGTTGCTTCCAAAAAATCTAAATCTACATTCATATGATTGTTTAGTTAATATTGATTCAGTTTCTTAGAAATGCAACATCAAGAGAAAGTTGAAGACTAGATATTTCTTTACTAAACATCATTTTCCAACATTCAAGAATCCAGTTATAAAATTAATAAAAAATATCCTCTTATTTATTTATTTATTAAACAAACTATCCTGATATTAAGAAACGTACCAAACTATTCTTAAAAAAAGACATTAATGTTGCCTCCAAGAAAACTAAATCTACCTTCATATAAACATTGTTTAGTTAATATTGATTTGACTAAACATTTCCCTTTTAAGAAGTACAATAATTATAATTACTTTTTACATTTTTCATAGTTTATATACAAAGAAAAATATTGTTTTTGGTATACTAATTCTATTCATTATGATAAAATCTGTCAAAACCTATAACTGAAGGTTAAACAAATTTATGTAGAATAGAATGTATTCTAGATAAAGCTTTATGTTCTTGATAATAAATTGCTTAGATTTTGTGTTTTTAAAATATAGGACTTAGCAAATATAGATTTGTAAATAAATAATAAAAAGCAAGAAAATTAAGGAATTCTCCAATGTAGTTTATAAATATGATTTATTTAATGTCCTTGATTGTAGTAAATTTATCAATGATTTTGACTTGGGTGTAGTATGCTAATTGTAGCAAGGTTATTTGTTACGCTGAATACATATAATAAACAAACATAGACGTTGCGAAATTACGCTGACATTGAAATTTATTACTAAAAAGAAAGTATTTAAATACAGAAGGTAAAAGTAATATAGGTATAATCAGGCCAAAATAGATCATTAATAATTCATATCTTAATAAAATTCTTAACCTCTGGAAAATACTCAATTCTCTTAAGCTGTAAAGAAAATTATATTGAAGTAAACTTATTAAATTGGATAATTCATATTCAATATAATGAGTGCCTTGAATTAAGAAATATTTATTGGGTAAACAAAAAAAAAACGTTCCAATTAAACTTTTAATTATCTTTTTACTGATACACAAATAAAGTCGAGAGCAACAATTATAATTGTTTATGAAATCGAAGAAATGTAATAAAGTAAAAAATAAATTCAGTAGATGATAATCTATTGTTGCAGTAACTATTTTAATTCAAAAATTTAAAAAAAAAAAACAAAAATTGAAGTAACGTTTCTAATTCGGTATGTCCAATTTGCAATGTAAGCGCACCAGAATAGAAACGCTACTTGTCACCTTATTAATCTTGTTGACGAGTCGTTGATGGGGGCAAGGGACCAGTTTGGATTTCGGTGGTGATCTTCTGCTGCTGCTGCCGCTTCAGTTGCTGTGAATCGGGTGGTTTTTGAAATGCGTAGGCTCGGGAACATTTCAACAGACTATTGTTCTCTCTTAACTTTACAGATCGTCCATAATGGCCTAACCAAACCCAAAAACCACTAGGCTCACCTGTGTTTGTTTCATCATCATCATCACCGACATCATCATCATCACAACTGCAAAGACCCAAGCCAACATAAATTGAAGCACACATCTCGTTTTGCTATCTTATCACTTTGGTCCACATACATTTCCGTGGAATTAAAAAAAAAACAACAACGCACAAATTAGAGAAGAAACTTTTCGTCTTCATCTTTTAATTGTTGTCGTTGTTTCGGTGACACAACAATTTATATAAAAAAAAAATAAGTAAATAAATACCTCGAGCAGAAATAATAATTCTTGCTGTCGCTGATTCACAGATAGCACACCAATTAAACAAACAAGAAAATAATAATAATGGATCAAAATGCACAATACTAAATAGTAAAAATTGTTTTTTTTTTGTTGGTAAATTTCTTTTTGGTTTTTTTACTTAGTGATATATAAATACCTCTTTGATAATATTGTCAGGGAACGAAAGAGTAACAACATTCGAGACAGATTCGAGATTGTCTGGTCAACGGCTGCTGAAAAGATATCATCAAATACTGGGCAATAGTCTTTCTGTGTATAATACATATACAAACAAAAATTATAAAATCAGTGTGTGAATTCTGATCGAGCGAACGGAACAGATGTTCCGATCGCGTCTTTTTCCCAGCCAAGATTATTATGCCTGGGGAACTTAATTGAGCTGCAATTAAAGGACGTTGCAACCCGCATAAATTCCTGGCATATACGCGCGCACACGCACACACACATCCCAATCAAAGTATATTAATTGAATATTATAAACTTAAAGCCATCTGGTTGTTAAGATAGTAATAATAATAATAATGGTAACAAATAAATATGTAAAAGTTAAAACTCTCTATAAAGTTATTTTGTGTACAGTCTTAGCACTAACCTGCTGGTCAGACTCTGAAATAGAAGTTTACGTTTTACTAGAGAGCCACCTACCTGATCTGGGCCACTCTTACTGGTCTAACTCGAAAACTATGAAGAACATTTATCGGCGATGAGAGTGTCTGGAACGATCCCTATCCCGATTTCGATCCCTTTCTATAAAATACAAAACAACATTATCGCTAACAAATTCAACAATGATCATTAAAGTTATCTACCAGTGGTACGGTCCGGGCGGTGCTTTCGATCCCGTTCGCGTTCTCGCTCTTTGCTCCGTTGATTCGTCTCCCTCCTGTACTTATCGTCACGATCTCTATCTTTTCTCTCCTTATCCTTGCGTTCTTTGTAGAGGTCATTCCTAAAACAAAAACATGTTCATTACAACTGTGATTCATGTATTAATAAGAAAAAATAACTTTACCCGTGCTCTGACCGATCTCTTCCATTTTTATCTCTCCCATTATCTCTATTGTATGGTCTGCTGGAGTGCCTTTCCCTACGATCCTCCATGGAACTGCCTCGAGCACCGCGGCGTTCATCGCGTTGCGTATCCACAACTTCCTGGATTTCCTCGATGGCCGCTTTCAAACGCGCATAACTGTTACGAAATAAATTAGAACTATTGTCACGCAAATCTCTACCATCAGTTGTACCCAACATGTTGTTTCCCCATCAAATGGTCGTCAATCCTCTGCTGCGCATCACCAACAATCAGAAAGGCACCACACACTTCACACACCTCCATTTGTTTCTCCTGTGCTGCTGCCAATTCAGCAGTAGAACTCCAGTGACTAAAAGAAAAACAATAACTTAATCTATATTTACAAAGCATACAAAATCAACTGACCTGTTATCATTAAGTTTCTTTAAGTTATCCCTCTCATCCTTCAACTGATCACATAGCTTCATCAAACCTTGAGCCTGTTCAACATTGCCATTATTCCCAGCCTGCTCAGCCTCCTCCACCAGACCATTTATTCTCTCATTAAGCAGAACTATCTGCTCCTGATTCTTCTGTGTTTGAGCAGGTGTCAGAGATGATCCCTCTCCTTTGCCACTCAAAGCCAATCGTTGTTTACCCTTTATAATCTTCCTATCCACTTCATTAACCATAGATGTGCAAAATCTAAAACATTGTAAGATTAATATACAAATCAAACTGTTGAATAACATTATCCACACCTGATAAATTCTTCTTGATAATAGATTTTTCTGTGTCCTTTGGACTGTTCAAAAAGCTTCTTCACCTCATCATCATGGACCTTTGTGCAAACACCCAAATCAGCCCTTGTGTTAACAAACAAATCATGTGGACAGAACTTCACCAAGTAATACTTGCAATACTGGAAATAAAGAATGTAAAGAGATTAAGAATGAAAAAAGAAAAAACAACAAAAAGAAGAAATTGGAGGTTATCGTACGTCTGCGTCTTCCCAGTTCAGCTCCTTGCCCTTCTCGTTAGGTGCTATGTTCCGATTCCTTCCCATCAATTCATCCAGAAGGGCGGCAGCAGCCAGCACAGCCATAGTCACAAACAATTGTTTTAAATTGAGTTAAAATAAAACAACGACTTTTTAACCTGTCATTTTCTTGGATAAACTTAGAAAATGGTGGGGGTGGCATATCAAGCATAAGAAAGAGTATTGTCTTATCCACCACAAGATGGCGAGTCTAATTATTTAATAATTCTTTTATCTGGTTTTGTTCAATTCATAACAATCTCAGCTTTTCAATATAAACTTTAATTAATCTTGGATTTATACAAAAAAAAAAACTATAAAACTTTTTCTCAATATAAACTGAAAGCAACATTTCTATAATAGCATTAGGCAATTTACAGTAATATACAATTTCCAATTAATATTTAAATATTTGAAAAAATAGTAATTGCTGCCAAATTTGAAAATTCGCGTGTGCAAATTGATGCCAACTCAGAGCTGAAAGTAAAAGTTGGTAAACGTCAACACATATGTTTTTTGTGGTTATGTAGACTTGAAATTTATTACGTTAATTAACAATTAGAGAAAAAAGATGCTAAATTGGCTATAGATTTGGTACCTTGATTAGATAAGGGAGCAGTGTAGTATGCGTCCTAAATAAATAGTAATTTACAATTGGGTGAGGATGAATTTGTGAGCTTGAACTGTAAGAAATAAATGAAGAATCTGGAGGATCCCAGCGACATGGGACGAATAAGAGATTGGAGGAAGGCCCTCAGAAGCCCGCCCTCTTACCGAATCGTAAACAAGACACTTAGGAACCAAAAACATTTTATCACAATTATTACCATGACTGGTCTGCTAGTGCTCTTTATCTTGTACATTTTCCCAAAGAAAATGCATTCTGAGAGTGTTGTGCTTTCCTCCAATTACAATCACACATATCCAATAACGGCTCCAATTATCATAAGTGGCATGCATACTTTTCGAATAGGTGAATTATCAAATTTGTAATAATTCATCAAGTTCAATTTATATTTATTTTAAGGTATTATTGCTGATTTGGACACAAATTCCAAGAGCAGTAAAGAGAAGCACACTTGGTATTCATATTTGAAAAAGGGATTCCTAAGCTACAGCCCAACGAGACAGTCAATAGTTATAACATGGGACAATCATGATCCAGTTAAGTTAACAACGAATTTCGCCTTGAAGGACAGGGGAATGGAATTATCAGAGTTGGTTGTATTTAATGGACGTTTATTAACTTTTGATGATAGAACTGGAATGGTTTTTGAGATTATTAATGATAAAGCAGTGCCTTGGTTGTTGTTGATGGATGGTAATGGACAGTGAGTGTGTTGTCTTCTTAGTTTTTCTTCAATGGAACTAAATGGTAAATTGATTTTAAGGAATACAAAGGGCTTTAAAGCAGAGTGGGCAACTGTTAAGAATGAGCAATTGGTTGTGGGATCAATGGGTAAAGAGTGGACAACTCCAACTGGTGAATTCCAGCAGAACAATCCACAATATATCAAAATGATCAGAACCAATGGTGAAGTACAACATGTGAGTTGGATTGAAGAATATAAAAGAATTAGGAATGTTTTAAATATACAGTGGCCTGGATATATGATACATGAGAGTGGGGCTTGGTCACAGGTGCACCAGAGGTGGTTCTTTTTGCCACGACGGTGCAGCCAAGACAGCTACAATGAAACTCTAGATGAACATAGAGGCTGCTCAGTACTCATATCAGCCGACTCCGATGTCTACGACGTCAAATTCATTAAGGTAATTATTACGAATATTAATTAACATTTCAACATTGAATATCCAAATAATTTTTTTAGTTGCCAAATAAATCTAATACTAGGGGATTTTCATCATTTAAATTCGTTCCTACGTCGAATGATACGGTAATCATTGCTTTGAGAACTGAAGAAATTGATGGTAAAACATCGACCTACCTCACGGCATTCGATATCAATGGCAACGTCATTTTGGATGACACCTATGTTTCAGATCTTAAATATGAAGGATTTGAATTCATCTAGCATTCCAATACATTACTATTAGCTCAATTCTGTGTATAATAATTGCATTAACCTTCCCAATTGTAATTAATGTATATTTTATATTTAATTTAATATAAAGTCTATTTTTCCTTGAGTTTCGATATACCAATTGCTCGCAGCTCGACCGAATTTCCTTTCACGATTTCGGCAGATATCTCCAGCAAACGGCAAGGATTCTTAACATGTAGCTCGTAATATCTGCAAATGTACACATCAAAATAAGCGAATATTATATTTATTTTTTTTACCTGAATGTAGCATCAGACACATTACGATATGGCGAATCTATGCGAATCCCATCTATTATTGGTTTGATTTGTTGCAAGGAAATATTATCTTCAGGGCCTTCAGTTTCGATCGCGTTGCAAACAATCTTCCTAATAGTTCCAGTTTGCCGGAGCAACAAGATCAGATTGATCAAATCGTTGGTACTTTCGTCCACCGCTTTAGTGGCTGTATACAGGATATACTTGCCATTTAGTTGTATATCGCAAATAAATAACTGATGAAAATACGCTAAGCTATCGTTGTTCTTCGTTAAAACGCACGTAGCATTATCATTTTCGGTATGCAGCTGCATGCAATTGCATTGGTTCGTTAAATTGCTAACGGATAAATCGTAATCGCAGATGTTTTTGTTGTGTAGATATCTGGACAATTGCAGTTCCTGTTCGTGCAAAGCGTATTGATTCTATGAAAGAAGATACGATGAGTATTTGAAAATTATAGCCGATTGGAAATATAACTTTATCTGTTCCTATGTAAAACGACGTGTTGAACAGTGTATTTATTGGATGGGTGTATAGGAATGGCCAAAGGCTTCTCCAGAAGCTGTTGTCTTTGTGCATGAATCGCTCGTGGAATGTATCTTGCGGTTCAGGTTGTAACGTCTCGTGAACCCATCCTTGCGCAAAAATCGCTATAGACATATTCAACATTCGAATTTTTTCTGCCGCCTACGAAATATTTCAATTATTCAACGAATTGGTAATTATATTAGAGAACTAACGATGTGGCAATTAAATTTTCCACCTCCGTACGTGTTCCTGCCGAACACATCGATCCCAACGTAAACATCCATCACTCTGTGCTGAGCATTTAGATAGCTCTTGAACAAATTGTGCTCTTTGTACGTGTAGTTCAAGAATATACCGTCGCAAACATCGAAGAAGCACCTGAAGTATTCAGAAAATGAAATTTGTAATTGGAAGCCTTCACAACGTATACCTGTTCTTCTCGTTCAATTCGTTTTGCCAACTCAGTTTCCCATCTTCGATCACGCTGTCGTACCAAATAATCATAGACTCCGGTATAGACGCATGAATGTTTTCTGTTATGTAACTCACGAATTTCTTCATGCTATCTGTAGTTTCCAATTCATTCTCTATGTTCAACAACCATCCATCCAATTTATAGATCAAAGCCAATTGTATCAAATCGTCTGCAAATTTCTTGTAGTCTTTCAAGAAACCTTCACAGAGCAGTTTCCCACCATCATTCTCAGTGATTATTGTACCCAAAATCTTTACGCCATTCGCGTGCGCTTTATTGATCCAAGCTAATGGTGGAACAGTGATGAAATGATGAGAGAAATACACAAATATATCAATTTGAGCCCATCTGAAAAAAGTGTACCCATTTCCTCTTGGGTAGCCAGCCAAATACCTACAACCAATACACATTGAAATTTTTTTTTAAAGATAAATGAATTATTTACCTATCATCCAAGTAACCATTCTTCATGTCATGACAAACCAAAGTTTTTGGTGTCAAGTATGAATCAAACCTTTTCACTATATTCCCAATATTTCTATTAGTTTTGTGGCAATTCAATGAACTGTTCTGTACAATTGTTGGTGAACGAACCACCCTGTCTTTCAAGTGTTTTAACCATTGTGGTGGATTTGTGAGTGTGTTTGCTAATTCCTCAAGACTTCTTATAGGAGCACATACTGAGTCCCGGTCCAATTCAGAAGACATTGCAACCTCTGGATCCTCTTAATTAAAAATAAAACAAATCACATTACATGAAAAACTTTATTTAGCAAGTAACTTACCTCTTGGAGATATTTCATTTGACTGAGTGTTGCTCAATGTTTCCATTTTTATAGTGTGCCCCGGAAAAGGAAATACTAGGCCAGTGATTAATTCAGAGGAAAAAGCTTTTTTTTTTATAAAAATCAATGATTACAGATTACTTCCAGGATGTAATTCATAACTTCAAGATTATTTATGCAAAACTATTTTTTAATACAATGATTATCACAAATAAATATGCTTTATTTAGCTGTTTTTTGGTTGAGGTTACATATGTGAGTCACATTCGATAATAAAGATTGGAAAAAAAAGTTGCGCACTCAACGTAATTTAATGAATTTCACGATAATTGATAAATTAACTTTGTGATCATTATCAATAGCCGTTTGTATTTTATTGTACAATAATTTTTGTTTATTTATTTAAAGAGTAAACTAGTAAAGCAAATGATACAAATTCATTTATTTGTACAATGAAATGACAAACTCTTCCTGAGCAACGCATTGCTGGGTTTATCTGAAATATGAAAACAGACATAGAAAAACCATAATTAGTGATTATCTAGCAACATAGGGCTTCATATGAATGTTATAGGTAACCGGATGTAATAGTAATAGATCCGGTAAGTTTGGCTTCTTGTACAAAAAAGCGTCACGTCCTGTGAAAGACAATATCAGAAAATCTACATAAATTGTAAACTTATTATCTTAAATATACTACTGAATAAATAATATCAGAGAGTAAACAAATTAAAGAGGGAAGCAAAAATATGTTAAAACTAATGAGGTTTAAATAATATAGTTATGTTTCGCTACCGGTGGCAATCGCAAGCCCGACGTTCGAAATCCCGACTACCATAATCCGGACTATATCGAAATCCCGACAGTGTCTTTTATTATTATAAATTTCTATAATAACATTTTTATGGTAGTCGAGATTTCGATATAGTCGGGATTATGGTAGTCAGAATTTCGAACGTCGGGATTTCAATAGACGGTCTTTCGGTTGTTGGGATTTCGATAGATTTCGAGAACACCTAGATAGTTCCAGACTTGGAATACAAATGTGTAAATATTGATACATGATATACAAATTCCAATGAATGTGCTAATTGGGCATTTGAATAAAATCTAGTGAGCTGTATAAAAACTAACATTATTGATTAATTATCAAGCAATACAAGGCTTCGTTCATATGAAAGTTAGAGGAAACTGGATGTAATAGTAATAAATCCGGAATGATTGGCTTCTGGTAGAAGCGTCAAGTCCTATGAAAGACATAATTGTCTTAAATATATTATCGAAGAAATAATATCAGAGAGTAAACAAATTGAAAAGGCATACAAACATATGTTAATACTAATGACTGTTAGATAAACAATAACTAGAAAATTTTAATGAGTTTTGAATAATATCATTATCTTTCGCTACTTTTGCACCGGGCGGTATAAACTTTAGTCCTGATTTCATATTTGATGAAATTGTGTTAGACTTTGCAATGATTGTAAAATTAGTTTGTAAAGAGGTAAGAGTATTTTATCTTTAAGAGAACTATGAAATTATAAAAAAAAAATTTATTGATCCTATTTCTGTCACCCTTTCATTCTGTCCCAGAATTTATGTTGTTGGTGAGATTCATTCCTACCAATTTTCGTATCAGATTTTATGATACAGGCGACATAAGTACAGGGCTAAGAGTCGCCCTTTAAAAAATATCAGAAAATCTATGTAAATTGTACAGTAATTTTCTTAAATATATTATCAGAGCAATAATATCAAAGAGTAAACAAATTGAAAGTGCATACAAAAATATGTTAATACTAATGACTGTTAGATAAATAATAACTAGAAAATTTTAATGAGTTTTGAATAATATCATTATCTTTCGCTACTTTTGCACCGGGCGGTATAAACTTTAGTCCTGGTTTCATATTTGATGAAATTGTATTAGACTTTGCAATGATTGTAAAATTAGTTTGTAAAGAGGTAAAAGTATTTTATCTTCAAGAGAACTATGAAATTATAAAAATAAATGTAATAGGACTTTTTTTTAAATGATTACCACCCTATTTCTGCCACCCTTCCGGTTATTAAAGAACTATGAAATTATAAAAAAAAAAATGTTATTGATCCTATTTCTGTCTCCTTTTCAGTGCTTTTCTGTCCCACTATTAATGTTGTTGGTAAGATTCATTCCAGCCAATTTTCGTATCAGATTTTATGATACATGCGACTATAAAGACAGGGCTAAGATTGGCGACTTTAAAAAAAATATCAGAAAATATATGTAAATTCTAAAGTAATTATCTTAAATATATTATCAGAGCAATAATATCAAAGAGTAAACAAATTGAAAGTGCATACAAAAATATGTTAATACTAATGACTGTTAGATAAACATTAACTAGAAAATTTTAATGAGATTTGAATAATATCATTATCTTTCGCTACTTTTACACCGGGTGGTATAAACTTTTGTGCTGGTTCTGTATACAGTGGCGGATTATGCATTTTCCTATAGTATTTAAAATAGATTATTGGTTTTAGCATACTCCGGGGCCCAAAGATAATTTGCCTAAGGGCCAAAACTATATAACTATACTCCACTGCCTGTATAAATATTTATATTATTGTTGTGTTCAACCATTATTATTGTAATTGTTATTATTACTATAGTGTATTAACGAACTAGAGACATCCAAAGCGTCTCTTAGTCGCATTATTATATAAACATTAGCATAAAGGAATCTCTACCGTGATTCCAGTTAGATACACTTTAATATAAACAAAGTGGGCCAAGCGTAAACATTCCCATCGATACTCCTATACCTTTATACAGAATTCAAGTCCTTATTATAAACACATAAAGATTGTTACATGTACAATCGTAATCGATC